TCTGACAGTAGTAAATGAGGGGAGATTGTTCGCACTCAACTTCTTTTAGCGCAAGTTGTTAATGTGCAGTTTCGTACGGCAGTAACTGATCCTAATATCAAGCACATTACATGAGCATTAAGAAAGAAAATGGCCAATTAATAAATTACTGTATTCAAAACTTTAAACAATAAACAAAGTGAATGAACTCTGCCAACCTTCTATGCTACAGTATGAATAGCACTGAATGGCAGTGGTGGTGGTGATGGTGATGAAGTTGATAACGATGATGATGATAAAGATGTTGATAATGATGATGATGATGATGATGATTTTGATATTACTGACATTGATACAATGTTGATAACCTTGAGGATGATGATGTAGAAGATAAAGATGATGAATCAATACAATTCAATTTCTTTTATTGCTATGAAAGCCATCATTGGACATTATATGCTGATAATGATTACGATGATGATGATGTTTATAATGAATTATGATGTTTATGATGATGATTATGATGAAAATGTGAGGTCTCAAAACGAAATGAAACGCATCGTTGGTGAAATCATATTGAGATATTCACCAAAATAGGTCGAAGGCAATATTTTTACAAAATGTTGATTTTAATGTTTTTGAATAACTTGATACTTATATTTTATGATTGTGTACTTTTTAAGTGAATTATCTTACTATCAGTGTTCTCTTCGCATATTCTGTAATTCTAGTCCTATTATTTGTACAGGTTAATTTATCTTTGAGGCCAATTTTCTCAAAACCTGGTTCTCATACACCTAAACTTTAAGTGCTAACATCTCTGGATCTATTTATCCTAGTGAAACCATTCAAAGACCAAATTAAAGCTTATAATGTGATCTACCAAAATGTAATATTAACTCATTTTTTGATTTTCTAACGATGAGACTCATTTTGTTGTGAGACCTCACAAATATTCTGTCAAATAGTAATAATAATTATAGTGATATCAATGTATACTGGAATGAATGGAGGGATTCCTTCTTAAATATATGTAATGAACATGCTCCTTTAAAGACAATGCGTGTTAAAGATCGTTTCACTCCTTGAATGAGCCCAGATAAAATACAACTTATGTATGAAAGAGACCATGAAAAGCATCTTTCTGATAAATATGGGAGTGATATCAATTTGAACAAATATCGTAAACTACGAAACGTAGTAACAAGCAAAATTCGAAAAGCAAAATCAAATTACTTTGATAATGTTGAAAACAAATACAAAAATAACTCAAAAAAAATTATGGGAGGAACTATGCAGAACTATAGAGAAGGATTTAAATAGAAATAGTGTCCACCCTGACCTAAATTGTGAAAAACAACACCTATCTATAAAGGTAGTGGATATAAGCAGACGATGACTAACTATAGACCCATCTCCGTGGTTTGCCATATTTCAAAAATTGTCGA